CCCATCACTTCCGCTTGAACACTCGTCCTATTGTCCTGGAGCAATTATCGGGGTAAATCCTCAACAAACATAGATACTAGTTTCGCTCTTACTAGAGCTCATCTGCGGTACACATCTTTTGCCGTGCTGTGGTTTGAACTTTGGACATTTTACCCACGAACCGAGTGTGTTACCACTACTCCACAAGCACGATGATCCATCCAAAGCATATCTTAGTCATTTGTGATTTTCAACGGGCAATTTTGACAATGAGTAAACTGATGACTTAAGTGGATCAGTTGGAGATGATCAATCAAGCAATGAGTATAATCATTATGGTCCCTCTGAAGATTGAAGCGTAAGATTCACTGCATTACTGCTAAACTCCAACCGTAAAGTCTTCGCGTCCACTGTGAGCCAAATACAAAATATTTCAGACACCATTTTTCGGTTTGGGGAACAAAAGCAAGCATCAAGCCACCGTCTGATAGATTGCAATTATTTCTTCAGACATGGCTCTAGATTGTAAAAAGAGTTTGTTTGAAAAGTCTACCAAACAAACGCGGACAGATGAAAAGAAAAACTATATGAACTAGGGTACAGATTCCTGGACCAGACGAACCCACAGATGTTAATATCAGAAAGTGGAGCTTGGTTAAAGCGCACTCAAGGTCAGAAAAAATATCTATAAGAACTCGATTTTAAATTATATGTATAGCAAATATTAAGGTCTTGGAGTAGTTTAATAACAACTTTAATCTATTCGCCACGTCATGCATTAGATCAGAAAACTCTGATGTAAATATTGACGTTTGAGTTCTCCTTTTCTGCATTTTAGGCATCCCTCCAGAAACGTATTGGCCCGGATTACGGCAAAATGAAAAATTCCGGAAAATAGTATTATCAGATTCTCCTGACTCCAGTTCCACAGGGAGATTTTTTTCCATGTCTTCTGGTAAATCCACTGATAATGAAACCGGAGTCCAAGAATTTACCGAGCATATACGAGGTGTGCTTCGAGGTCGAGTTACCTGTCTAGATACGAACGGCCTTGATCTGTTAACAGAATGTCTTCATCTGCTGGGCGCTCGACGAATTACGGCTTCCGATGCGTTAAATCATAACTACTTTGATGACGTTCTTCCTGGGAACCTAGATCTACGTAACCTTAGTCCGGAGCACTCAATTTACGTGAACACCGATTCAGTCTCAAAACGTAAGAATGTTCACACTACTGGAAGGAAGTACTTGAACCAACCGAATGCAAGCAATAGATTGAATATGCACGCCTCAAGTATGGATGACGTCAGGGTGCGATCGTCTACATTCGATCCAGAGGTCAGTTCAAAAGCAGAGTCGGAAAATCGTTCCGCCCGAAACAGCTGGATCGACGATACAGATCACGCCCATACAAATTCCCCATCAGACACAAGGGCCTTGTTGACGGATACTCACGATATAGAACACCCTTGTGTCGTAAAAGATTCAACTGCTGGGCCGAATGAGTCACGTAAATCTATTTCAGAAGCCAAAGGATCGAAATCCAAAGGCCGTAGGGTCAAATTTGAGGTCGTCGGTTACGAACTGGGTTCACAATTCAATCCTGTGACTATCACCACTCCGGACATTTTCAAAAACGACTTGAACTTAAATCAAAAACATCTCACTAACGATATGACTAGACCGGTACCACACAGACCATCACTTCAGAGGATACTGAGCAACTTTGGAAACGGCACAGCCAAACAATCTTCTGTTTCACATCGTTCACTGGAACGTGAGGTCTATATACGACCAAGTCGATTGTCCGAAATTGCGGACAGCGCGTCAGGGGTAAGCA